CTACGGGATCTGGGTCAGCTAATGGTGATGCATGATATTTACCGTATATAAGACTAGAATGTGACATTGGAAATGAGATACCCAGGTCGTCATGGTGGTTGTATCACGTTGGGGAGGACATATGTTTCACGATAAGTGCGCAATGCCCTTTTATCGCAGTTTTCCTTTTGATCGTTTGATGAGTGATGGTTGGCCAACATTGTTGCCCGTCAGTCTCATAACGACTATTGGCAGCTAGACAGGCATTTAGTAAGATCATAATGACCAATATGACCTCAAAATCGGACAGGATCGCGATCTTACCCTTAAACTGTATCGTGAAGGCAAATTGTTCAAAAGAGTCGAGTTACATGAGTCTCTAGTCCATCAATTTACCCCGAATGTATCCATGCGGCTCAACAATTTTCACCGAACAGGATATCGTTAATAAAATATACACCCTTCCATCTGGCAACTTTGCCAAAGCGTCTCCCGCGATCAGCAGGAGCTTCTGTTCCGTCGTCTGGCAACTTGTGCTTTGTCCCTTTGGACCTGCGACCGCCCGGAACCTTCACGCTAACTTGGATCGGAACGGTGGGGTTTGCAAAGTTGGCGCTGCATGGAGCTCGTCTGTAGCACGAGGTGAAATATGCTATCTCTAAGGGCCAGACTGCTGCCACGGAGCGGGTCAGCCACCTGAACTTGAGACGCCGATCTGCATAAGGTATACATCTGATCACTTCTAGGGATGGTCGCAGTGAGTAAACATGGACGCAAATGTCATTTCCATTTGTGCGAAATGATGAGCAACTGAAAATCCAATCGGGTATCATATTGGAACCGACTGATGCATCAAATTCGATCATCCATTGCTCAGCATAAGGCGTCCCTTACTCATTACCTACTATGAAATATTAATCACCTAGAACAGCTGTGACAACCACAAATTCTATCCATCTGTGCTCCTTTCATCCTTTTCTATCATCACCATCTTCAATATCAGCATAACCTTGCTGCTATTGCTTCTCGCTCCCCCACCCCTCTCGTTGCGGTTGCTGTTGCTGCTGCTGCAACTGCAGATGATGATGACGTTGTCTGCATTGCTGCTGCGTTTCGTCCCTCACCGAATCACCTCTGTCGGGGCATAGCTGTCGAAAAGAGCAATGCGGAAGAGCGGAGCGGGAGGGAGAGAGAGGCTGAGGAGAGAGAGAGAGAGAGAGAGAGAGAGAGAGAGACAGACAGACAGAGAGAGAGAGAGAGAGAGAGAGAGAGAGAGAGAGAGAGAGAGAGAGAGAGAGAGAGAGAGAGAGAGAGAGAGAGAGAGAGAGAGAGAGAGAGAGAGAGAGAGAGAGAGAGGATGTTGAGGAACACAAGGTCTGACAGGATCGGAAAGTGGTGGTGTCAATCATTCTGACACCGATACAGCGCCCATTCTCTGACCACGAGAGACAGGAGCTGCAGGCCGCTGCGGGAGCGGACATATAAAAATTATGGATATAACCATGCTTTTGTAAAAGAGAAGCACTGGTAGTGTTTGTAACCAAGCTAAACAGCAGCTTCAGTCGTAGTGTGAGACTGATAAAGTGTCAGTTAAGGTCACAAAACAGAAGAATTACAACCACAATGCCTTGCGGTTTGGGACTGAAACACGCGCGAAAAAGGCCTAAGGCTATACTTTGCAATGAAACTTGCAACTCATTGCCGCATCTTTTTATTTTTGCCTCTGTGTTTATTTGTTCTGCCTTAATTTTAGCGTCATTATCTTTTCTGTGAACCACTGGTTTTTTAGCAGAAGCCGCAAGATACCTGCTGCCAAGAAAAGCAGCCTGCAAGACGCTGCAAAATCGGCGCATTAGAGGTGCCTGGCCGAAGTCCAATAATAGTTAGCACCGACATTTACAGTCACCAGAGATTACTGGAAACTTTAGCAGCATTGCATCTGAAATGACAGATTGAACGTGTCTTTTTTGATGATCTGGAGTTATGGTCGCGGTCTACCCTTGACATGTTTCACTGAGGGGCTATCTTAATTAACAAGGTGAATCAATAGTTTGACGTTTATCAGATCGCGCTCCGGCCGGGTTGTGACTAAAATGTGACGACAGAAGGGGAGCAAAATCATTCTTTCAAAAGAAAAGAAACAAATTGTAACTGTTTTCTTTATCAGTGCTTCTGGATATGAAGTTTATTTTGTTTCAACTATATTATAAATTGTACGAACTTGGCTGAGTGCAAAGCCCGTTCGTTTCATAAAATTTACATTTGTTGCTGGTAATGTAATCACATGATAAAACACAATTCACCAAATTTGCAAAATGCTTTACGTGAATCCATGCTATTATTAGAAAATTATAAGGATGTAGCATCATGTATTTATACCACTGTCACGTGACATGCTACGATTACGCCGAAACGTAGCATCAAAAGCCCACAGTTGTCATTTGATAAGACCCAGCTAACAATCTGACACACATCATCTCACACCATACCATTTTCAGCTCCATTGCACCAAACCCCACGCATATCACGTGCCTCGCTGCGTCGACCGCCTCTGTGTGACCTAGCACCTGCTATTGTTTGAGCGCCCGGCCGCCTTTAGCGCCCAGTTGGCAGCTCTCAGTGCGGATTTGGCAGCGCTGACGATATATATTCGGCGCATTCCAGCGTCCGGCCGCGGCGGCTGGAAACTGGAACGGCCGGTTGGCGCCTCCGGTGGGGGGGGGGGGGCTGGAGGGGTGGGGGGGTGTAAAGGCGTCGGCGTCGATGGCTGAGCCTCAGGCGATGTGGCTAAGGCCGGATGCAGCCGGAGGCGGGGATGCCAGAGGCGGTTAGGTGGGCTTACAAAGGCGTAGGTGGTCATGTGCAGGCGGAGGCTGCCAAAAGCGTACCGAAGCGTGACTAGCAGGCGCGGGGTCAGTAGAGATTGGGGCGGGTTCAGGAGAGGCGGAGTTGGGGTTAATATTTGCGAGGGCGTGGTTACTAGAGGCGGGGGCGTGGTCAGCAGGGACGGGGGCGGAGACACAAGGTGTTCAGAGGTGAAGGCGACAGAGGCAGCAAGACAAGCGAAGGTGGATGGACAGAGGTTTGCCACAGATGTGGAAGTGGTCTGAGGTGTTTAGTCAGGTTTATAGAGGGGGGTGGTTAGGCGTAGGCGGCTAGGCGTAGGCAGTTAGACGAAGGCGGTTTGGCAGGTCCACCAGAGACAGAGGAGAGACAGAGCCGCCCCAGTCCAGAGAGGCTGGAATAGCTAACCGTAAGGAGCGGAGCACGAACCTAATTCCTCAGGGAGAACGGGCACGTGCTTTGACATAGTGCTGAAAGGTGCTAATAGCTGGTGCTGACGGCTCAGGGCTAATGATAGGTGATCAATTGATCCCGGTGGATCATAAGCGTTTGATGGGTGGTCCGATGGATGTCTATTCGCGGTAACGCCCGCTAGACGTGAGCTCGACGGATATCTATTTGTAGAAGCGCACGTGGGTCGCGCTTATCCGTCGAATATTCTTGTTTTAACATATGAACCCAGATCGAATTAAATGCCCGTACTTTTGTGCTTACCCTGCCATGGTTATTCAGCATTCATTTTAAAAATATATATGTAATTGGTCATGACCTTCTGTAGGATACTTATATTATGGAACATTATCGATAATTATTCGTCAAAATAATGTGCCTTCGAGGTATGTGACACTCGGATTAACATGATGCCACAAATGAAATGCATAAGCTGATTAGTAGCCAGTAGCCACCCGGTCGGCGACTATTTCGGTCGGCTTATTTCCATTAAATAACGTTCATTTGTCTGGATGTCAGCACTGGGCCAGTCGGCATCAATACGTGACGCCATATCTCGCGAACTGTTATTGCAGCCATTTGAGCTCTATTTCGCGGAGATGAACAGAAATCAAGTCTGGCCACATCGTGTTACCAGAGTGTAACGAGAACCCACCACCTGATTTGGCGCTGCTGCGATAGATGAAAGTTAAACGTAAGTTTTACGCGTGACTTAAAGCATAGGCCGTGTTCTAAAAGTGGTTTAGAGCTGTGATTTCAGCCATGTTTCACAAACGGCCAAGAGCTGAGATTTCAACCATGCTCCCACATGGCATGGAGCCAATATTTCATTCATGTTTCGCAATCGCTTTACGGTTTCAGCCATGTTTCGCACATCACCACGCGCTGTGATTTTAGCGATGTTTCACCTTTGATTACTTGCCAGGACATCCTTTACCGCCGAAACCCGACGACATCCACTCATTCTGATTGGAGCTAATCTGCCAAATGGGGCTGTCAAAGCCTCTAGAAACTTCTCGGTGTAGCGGTGAATTTAGTTGACCACGTGAACGCAACCTTCGCAGAAGCGTTATTACGTTAGGGACCTGAGGACCGTTAGGGACCCGTGAGTTTGAGATGCTCCGTGTAACATCTCGTTAGTATTCCCGCACAAGCCAGCTTGAGAGATATCCTAGGCTCACACGGTTTCATAACTTACTTCCCAGCCGTTCGAGAGTGTTAATTTTTCATCTTCAGACGGCTTGTTACACATGTCTGTCACTACACAAAAATCTGTGTTACATCTTTGCTTCAAAACATTTGCAATTGATTGCATTGTAAATGAGTGCTGAGTAGCTATTTAACTCCTTGTTTTCAGACCAAAATATTTTCGACCTTTTGTCCTCCGACGATCGTCAGAGTAAATTATTTTCTGTGACCAGAGTTGAACCCCATGACCCTCAAACTACGGCGAATAATCACTACATGCATCGAGTCAGCCAGCCGTAACTTTTAGCAAAGCCATGCAAAAGCAGCCAGATTAGCCACAACCACAATAATAGCGATTAATAACAGCGAATAACAACTAAAAAAAACTTATTATAACTGGCAACCAAAACGAGCAGACCCAATGAGACAAACAACGAGTAATTATAATATACAATAATATACATCTAACAGGCACAAAGGATGATATCACAATTCGCAATTTCACACACTAACCAATGTGTATCTGTTTCCGTTTTCAGCCGTACCGGACAACCCCCCTGATCACCCCCGGGGCGAAGGTCAAGCGCGACACTCCCATCGTGGCCTCCTATCTCAACATGCACCCAGACCCCCAGGTAAGAGAGGAAAGGAAAAGAAGAGGGAGGGGACAGACAGACAGACAGACAAACAGACAGACAGACAGACAGATAGCCACAGACAAACAGACGGACAGACTCAGACAGACAGACAGACAGACAGACAGACAGACAGACAGACAGACAGACAGACAGACAGACAGACAGACAGACATCTGACCCATGCATGTTTTTTTTTACATTTGCCCCTTATTTCCTGGTGCGGGAAGCGCTTGCTTGTGTGACCTGTCCGTTGCCCCTTTACCCTGGTTTTCCACATTTGGAGAGCGACCCTCTGTATAATCTGTCTTTGACCTTTGACCCTGGCGCGGGGAGCGGCTCCTTGTGTGACCTGCCCTTTGACCCCGTTTTCCAGGTGCGGGGAGCGGCTCCTCACGTGTCCCAGGTCAGCAGCGGTCTGAACAGCATGCTCGGATCGGCTAACGAACAGCTCGCTAGAAAGGTAAGTCACCAATCGACACTGCCCTGCGAAACGACCAGTCGTTTTCATATTTGCATATCGGATTCATCCTGGAAATTACTATGCATGTTTGATACTTTCTAGGCTACGTTATACGTACGAGGAAGTTGACAAAAATGAGGCATATTATCTCTACTTCTCTATTGTCTGTGTTTCTGATAACTATGCCATCCATATGTTTCTTTCTTTGCTTTTTTGTTGTTGCTTTTTTACCTTCACCATTGCATTATGTAGATGAAACGCGTGCTGAACACTACACTGACGACCACACTATTGTTGATAAGCAGGTGCACTAAGCTCTAACGAGATAAAACCACAATCAGAGCAATTTTTCATCTCGGCACCGATATTTAGGCCGTAAACACAGTGTCCGCGGGGCGTTTTTGTTCGCGTCAACGCTGTCAGCTGGCAGCACCGTCTCAAACTCAGGGGATGGGAACGTAGCGGGTTCTCGTAAAGAGACAGCTTTACATTCCAACTGCAAAGTGCAAAGGCCTTTATTATGTTCCGCGCAACTGTTCAATAAGCGTTTTCTGACGAAGAAATTCATTGGAAATTAAAACAAAATAAAAATGAAATACCTACTGCTCTTTTTCTTTCTTTCCAACATTCTAGTTCCATTGAATGACTACTTTTATGTCGTTGCCGTTTTTTGTTAAAGTAACGATGGTGCATTTAGCATGAGATCGTTTCGTATCTATTCTGAACCATCACCGTCTGTGAAGATAAAGGTATAAAAAGTATAAAAAGCTAAGATAATGATTAAAACACCAGTATGGTCTCATGAACCGTAGCTAACAAGCGGATTATGGATCGTTGCAATGAAAAAGGCGTACTTAGAAAAGGCCCTGTCCTATACATAGACAACAAATAGAAAAAGTTGTTAAGTTCGTTACTTAGCGTCTAATGCGTCCCATAATGTGACACATAGTGGTGTCATTCGCACGAAACACGTGACATTTGGCAGAACCTCCTTGTGTCTGAATCGTCACAGACCGCGTGTTCCGACATTCGGGAAAAAATGTGGGTTAAAATGACGGTTTCTATTAACTCCATTCAACACCAAAGCATCAGAGCCGGTTCAACAGCGACTACATGATCATTGCAGCTTTAGTTTACATGATTGAATAGGTTTTAAACTGTTCCGAGCAAAATTAAGCCACATTTACCACTTAACTCATTCTATGGCATTTCACGTATATGCAAACAGGTAAATCAGTGCCGTTCTTCCTTTACATGATTTACATTCGCTCGTTCTCACTGCAACTAAATATCGCTGAACACATATTTTCTCGCGGCGTTCCAGATGAAATACCTCCGGCTTGAGATGACGGACCACTAAATAAAAACACGGATAAATTGTCGGCTAGTCGCAACACTCCCCCCAGTGTTCTACTGGGTAGAACACCAATAATACGTGCGACTACTGGCCTATATGACATGACACGAACACTGCCCTTTAGTCCATTGATTTGCAGCATGCACATCCTCCAACTTACTGCCCGAGCGCTCAAGTTTTCAGCTCAGCTCCACTCCCGCTTCACTGGGATCTTTCACAACTTTCCAAGAAGCAAACTTTGTTTGCCGGACGACGGTAGACGGATCCTCTTGCCGTCTGCAGCGACACTGAGCGCACTCGACCATCATCGCTTGTGGTTACTTCTGTGATCCTCGCCAGCGGCCAGTAACCTCTGGGCGACTCTTGATCCACCATGAGGACGACATCACCAACTTGTAGATCTCGGGTTTCACGCACCCACTTCTTCCGTTGAATCAGCAGTGGTAGGTATTCTTTCTGCTTCCTTCGCCATAGCTGATCGGCGAGTGCTTGGGACTGCCGCCACTTTCCACGGCCGAGGACATCACTTTCAGCGAAGATGCCAGGCGGGAAGGCGGCCTCCGGGTAGCCCAAGACGAAGTGGTTCGGAGTGAGGGGCTCCGGGTCACCAATGTCCGTGCTGACATAGGTCAGCGGACGGCTATTGAGTACAAACTCAATCTCCGTCAGTACAGTACACAACAGTTCTTCCGAGGAGACCTTGCGAGCGTGATTCTTTGCGACATAGCCCATCAGAGCTTCTTCGTACGCTGCTGCTCTCGTAGGATCCCGCGACAGGCTCCTCTCCAGCGACTCCAGTCGCCTCTCTGCCATCTTGCGATTGTCAGGCATCTTCGTGTCTTCTTGTTTCCAGAGGAGTCCTACTTCGTAGCGACCATCTTGCAGCTTCGTGGTGCTATCGAGCATAGTCTGGGCTCGAGTGTCCTTCTGAGAATAAGACGCCTGGCCTTCAAACATGCTCCCAAACGACTCAGTCGTCCACCAGTCGCTTATCGCTGCGCACAACTGGGACTCCTCAGATGAGTGATGAATCAGCATAACATCACGCATCTGTCCGGGAACGAGTCCAGCTACAGAGCCTGTCAGTGTCCAACCGAACACAGTTCTGATCGCGACAGGGTCACCGGGGCTGCCGGTTCTCACTTCTAGCTGTAGGACCGCCTCAATCACGTTAGCTCCGAGTAGGAGTTCCACCTTGCGCCCACGGCAGTCCGGCAGCTTCAGATCATGCACATGCCGCCACTGTTTTGCAGGATAATGCGGCACAGTAAGATTGATCTCCTTTACTGAGAAGGCTTCTGGCACTGAAACAGAGTAGACTTCCTCTCCCTCAGTCAGCAGATTTAACTGCAGACGTCTCGTGCGCTGCTGGGAGCCATTCCCTTCAACATTTCTCAGTCGCAAAGTTTGGCGCTCCCCCTGGAGTCCGAGTTCTTCCACGAGATCTTCTGCAACGAGAGAAGTTTGTGATCCTGGGTCTAGCAGCGCACATACCTTCCTGGTCTTGCCGTTCTGGCCGACGACGGTGACCTCCACAACCTGGAGAAGAGTAGTGACCTGTTCCACAGGCAGTGACGACGCAGCAACCACCCGTTGGCCATCAGGCTCTGAGCTCGGCACCGACCGGCTGGCCTCTGTACCGAGACCGACCCTCCTGCTGCCGTGCAACACCAGATGGTGCCTCATTTCACAACCCTCGATGCCACATCGCCTTGCAAAGCGGCACTTTCTGACGGCGTGACCTGTCTTTAAACAGAAGAAGCAGGCACCTGAGCTAGCAACAAAGGCAGCTCTCTCATCCACTGACTTGCTGAGGAATGCGGGGCATACAGTAACGTCATGGGCAGCTTCACAGCAGATGCAAGTCTTGCCGGCTCTGTTCTGTGCTTCAGTCGCCAGAGCCGTCCGCTGAAGAGCATGTTCTCCACTGGCTCCCTGCGTCTTTGCTTCACGCTTCTTTTCGGCTGACCGCCCTCCATGCTGTTGAGAAACAGCCGCGAAGTTCAGCGCGATCCTGACCTGTCTGCACAGCCAAGAGTCTAGATGGAGCAGGCTGGGCTTCTCTGGTTCGAGGTTTAAGACATGTTCACCCCACTCTCTCTTCAGTTCAGTCGGTAGCTTCTCTACCACACGTCTCAATAACTGTACAGGTCACCGTCATGCCCCAGACTCTGGAACACTACTACAGCGCAGTGGACTGTGGCTTGAAACTGTTCCAGGCTGGCAGGATCGAGATGAGAAGGTGCCGGACAGGAGAAGATGCTGTCGAGGTTGGAGTGGATGATGTCATCATCTCGGCCGAATCTGTCCTTTAGTACTCTAACTGCCTCCTCATACAGCTCCCCTCTATACAGCATCCCTCCGATGGTCCTCTGGGCCAAGCCAGTGACAGCGGCCTGCAAATGAGCCATTTTCTCCGTGGGGGTCAGAGCTGGCTGGTCATGGACCAAAGTGCGGAACAAAGCAAACCAGTTCACCCACTCGCTCGTGTCGCCGGCGAATGTGGGCAGAGTGAGTCTGGGGAGGCTGCGATGGAAAAGATGCTCAGGCTGGTAGACAGGGGCAACTTGCACCGGAGCAGCTGCACCCGGGGTAGAGTACCGTCTCGCATCCTCAGGCATGGGACGGCAAAGCACGACCGGGTCGGGTGGATCACTGCTTACCACTGAATGGGCTGGTCTGGGAGGACTAGTTGGACGCTGCGGCACTGTCTCTGCTACACCCGGAGTAGAACATCGTCTCTTGTCATCAGGCGTAGGATGGCGAGGCACAGCTGAGTTAGGCGAGTCGCTGCTTGTCACTGGATCGGCTGGTCTTGAACTAGCTTGATTAGCTGGACACTGAGACACTGACTCTGCTTCCACGGGGCGGCACTCATAATCCACTGGGCACAGAACAGCTGGCTCCCCGACAAAGTCGTCTCTCCGCTCCCAGCTGAGACCTCCCTCTGCGTCCTTCAACAGCCGCTCTTCCAGCCGTGCAGATGCTTCCGCATCTTCAGCCTCCTGAAGCTGGCGTCTTCTCCTCATATCCTGTTCTTGCTTCTCCAGCTCCAGTCGTCGCCGAAGCTGTTGGAGCTCCAGCTGCCTCACCTGTGCTGTTATTCGCGCCCTGCCGGGGTCAGTAGCCTTAGATGAGACGCGACTCTCTGCAGTCACTGAAGGCGCTTCGTCCTTCCTACCTGCCAGGTGCTCCTGAATGCGGACCACAGCAGCCTCATGCTGCTCTCTTACATCCTTCATATAGAGTTCGGCAGCCTGCAATTCGCCTTCCTCCTTGAGGCTGGCCACATACTTGCCGTTTGCTTCTTCGATTTCTTCCAAAGCCACATCAAGTTCTTTGAGCGTCTCGGCGAGTTGAGTTCGGCTGCCTTTACTATCTATGAGAATCAATGCACGTCTCCTTACTCTTGTTAGCTTGCACAGCCTTCTACCACGCACGGATTTCAACGTTTTCGTCTCGTCCATATCTTGTATCTGTCTTCCAATTGATTGCACAATGCACAGTGCACGGAGTTTAAAACTGTTCCGACATTCGGGAAAAAATGTGGGTTAAAATGACGGTTTCTATTAACTCCATTCAACACCAAAGCATCAGAGCCGGTTCAACAGCGACTACATGATCATTGCAGCTTTAGTTTACA